CTCAAGTTAATAAATCACAGAGGGGCATAGTATACAAATAAATAAGTCACATTGGGTATGACACATAGACAGATTAGCACAAAAGGGAGCACATAATATATGGGCATTAAGTTATAGAAATATGTGGTGTACGCGTGCATATGAACTATAGGGCAGCGTGTGAGCGAATGAACTACAGGGCATGTAGGAAATGGACTAGATGAGCACATGATGCATGAGTACTAAAGCTACAATATATATAATATGTAAGCAAGTAGACTATAAGACATGTAGACATAAAATAAAATGAACTACGGAACACAAATCACATTGAGCAAGTGTGTTTCACATGATAGGTGGACTAACATGTCAATGAGTACACATATGAAATATGAGAAAGTGAGCACATGACACATGTCCAGAAAAGCTATAAGGCCTGTAATGTTTAAGCAAGTAGGCTACGAGGCATCTAAAATATATAGAAATGGTCATATGATCAATTAGCCTGCAGTACCCACACAATATGGACAAGTGACATGAAGAAAGTAACTAGTGCAATAAATAACATGTAGGGAAAAGGTCCTATGAAAACATATAACAATAAACAAGGGTGCTCTGAAGCGGATAACACTTACATGCAAGCATTCTATGACATTAGGTAACCTGTGAGAAGGTAATCCACCAAAGGCAAATGACATACAAATAGATAAGTTATAAAACATACATCATGCATAATTATATAACAAACCGTCTTTGAAAATTAGGAGATATCATATAGAACAACTCTACCATAATAAGGGCAACTACACTGTCTTAAGCGTTAAGTCACGAATGGGATAATTCTGCTCATATTCCTTACCCACCTCTAAACACATACAATTGATTTCCCCATCTACTCTCTTCAATCTCCTAAGAATTCTTATAGGTGTTCCGCTATTGGGACTTGACTTCCATCTAGGTCAATATAAATACTACAGTCAAGATAGAAAAAGAAAATCCTCAATAGTTCATCTTTTAGAGTAGGAGGCTGAGGTGAACTTTGCCTTCATTACTAGCTTGTGTTATATCACGCTGAATGCCTGGTGCCCTTTGAAGGTCGAAATAGAAAATAAATAGTGAAGCTTGAACGCACCATAAAACATGAACTCTAATAACATGTGAATGTCACTTTAAACTTTAGACTCAAATACCACCTTATGATCTCAATTTTAAATACTTCCATCGACGTCAACTTAATCGGGTCGCATCAAAATCCATAGATAGTTCACTTTAAACCTATTATATTGTCACTAGTCGCATAGGAAACCGAGTCCATAACTATACCACAAGGCAATTTATAGGCATCATATAAATAGAACTAATACACGTAGAATACGGGGTGTTACAGGTATACTAATTACAAGCAATAAAATTCACTATGTTCTACTTAAGTTTTCAACTTCCCCATGTCATTCGCTGGTTGTCCCCTACTTTTATAAGTTAAAAAAGTAAATATCTTTATTCAGCTCAGGTTCTTTTTCTCTCACCTTTGCTCTGTAAAAGGGGTGCAAATGGGAGGGTCTGTCGGGCGTGGACAAACAGGTGAACTGTTTGTAACACGCTAAAGAACCACATTTGATGAAACAACAGGGGAAGGATGAACTCGCATTTTAAAACATACTAGAGGTGCATGGCCTATGCCAGCACGGGCCCAACATTGCAAATTTGATACATACATATTATATTTATATATATAAAGTGTTGGAGCCAAGCTATACATGACACGTATGTACAGTTTATTTACCTAATCCAAAAGGAAATGATTCGTCATGTCAGAGATTAGCCAAAGTATTTTCTTGTTGTGAGTGAGACCTGTTATGCAAAATAGCGAAGGCCAAAAGTGAATAAAAAATAAGTATGTTTAGTAGCCAGCCTGGTGAGATAGTTTGTAAGAGGCATCGCGTGGAAGTCAACGACACAAAAAGTGGCTCCAATCATATTTCAAAATGTAGGTAACATGGCTTTTCACTGATCAAAAAAATGAAAATATAGCAATATATAAGAAGTAGTGAGACATAGATGTACAAAACAGATGTATATAGATTGGCGATTTTATTGCTAATTGTGGCGGTTAATTTATAGGGGTCATAACAAACCCCTACTACACATTCAATTTGTGGCATTTGTGCTAACCTCTGCAAAATAATTCATTTTATGGCGGTTTTAGTGTGGAGGTTGTAAAAGACCTCCTCTATAAATTCAATTTGTGGTGTTTGTGCCAACCTCCATAAAATAATTCTTTTTATGGCGGTTTAAGTGTGGAGGTTGTAAAAGACCCCCACTAGAAATTCAATTTGTAACATGTGTTTCAACCTCCCCAAAATTATTCTTGTTATGATGATATTTTTTGGGGGGCTTTTGCACTACAAAAGAACAGAACGAGAATGGCGATTTATTTCACATATAATGGCGGTTTATAATTAACAATCATAATTTTTTTGCACTTGATAATGACTTATCTAATTTGTATTACGGCGATTTCAAATCGACATAAAATGTATATTTAATATAATATTATCACTGTATGAAATAATATTTTAACAAATTCGACCATAAGCAATCAACAATCATGTAGTCACACATTTAGATCCTATTTTGCACTTTTTTTATGAAATCATTAGGCATTCATAATATATTTAACACTTTAGCCTCATTTGTATTCATTAAGATTAAGACGTCTGAATCTGAATGCACATCTGAATGATTAAGATCTTGTATGTAGATCTGAACACTAAATGATTAAGATTGTTTGTTTTTAAATATTTGAATGTATATAATTTATTATTAATATATACACAATAAAACTATAATTCAAATAAAAGAGTAGCTAAGCATTACATTAATAAAATTTTAGAGAAAAAATCATTTTTTGATAAATGTTAAGATATGTGAAGTATAAATAATTTTTTTAAGTTTGATAAAAATGAAATGGAACTACATGACTATATATAAAAATTATAATAAAAAGGGAAAAGGGTCTTGAAAAATACTCCAACTTTGGCCAAAATTGTTGTTACGATACAAAACTTTATGGAGGACCTTTTACCCCCCTGCACTATTTAATAGTGTATTTTAAAGGTATATATGTGCCCACGTGGACATATTATTATTTATAACGATGCAATATTTATGATGTCCACGTGGCACATATATACCTTTAAAATACACGTGTAGGGAGGGATAAAAGGTCATTTCCAATGTTCGGTATTGTTACAGTAATTTTGGTCAAAGTTCGGATATATTTCACACATTTTTCCCTAATTAATAAAAAAAAAAGTTAGTCATCTTTTTTTAGTTTTTTTAACACAAATTAATCTTAAATAAATAGGTGAAACAACTCGATGTTCTATAATGTGTTTGCTCATGTACTCTTTTCTAAAATAAATAATGAACATGATACATTCAAATGATTTTAAACAAATTTATAAAGGCATCATTGTCTGATTTCAACAACACATATTTATGAAGTTGCTTTGCATTTTAGTCAAATAAAGTTTTTACAATAAATATAAACAAGTAGCAAAAAAAAAATTAAAATTATATGGGAAATAATTTAGATAACTAATAAAGTTGGAGAATGAGAGAGGCTTGAATTATTATTTTTTTGAAGAAAAAATACAGAGCATAATTTTTTTCTGAAAATAAAAGTGTCTTTAAAAGAGTCTGAATGAGAATAAGTTCGTGTAACACTCCAAAAAAAATTACTCCTCAAATTCGAATCATTTGTCTTAAGTATATGAGCTTGAACCGGGTGATGTATTACTTGCTCATGTGTTTTTAGGTTCTTTACCAAGTGTAGAAAGGGTATCAGAAGTGATTTAGGGTGATAAGGGACCTTTAACACTAAGTCAAGTCAAAGTCTTTCTACCGGCTAAGTTTTTCGCATTAGTTTATGCAATGGTCAACTTCAAATAACCATATCTCTTAGAATATAAAGAGTTATGCGGCTCATAACCTGTCAAATCAAAAGTCTATAAGTTTTCTTTCCAACACTACTAAATTTGCATCAATTGGAGTTTGGAGTAAAAAATTGTGCTTATTTTACTAGACATTATCTTGCAACGCGCCGGCTGCGTGGCCGACAATGACAATGGCATCCGATGGATTCAGGTTGGTGGACGAAAAGTCACTAGTACTAGTGAAGTATATAAAAGCTACTTCTTTTATGTTTCAATTTTTATATTAAATAAATCGATTAACAATTAACTCACCTGCTAATCGATGGATAACAATTAAACCATAATGAATCAATTGGTATTCTTACTGGTTTGATAGAGGCTTAACACTTATAAGAGCGATAATTGATAAGTCAAATCGTTAAGTATAAAAATCAAACTGAATCACTCAATTAGCACCCCTAACTTTACCTTCCAAAAAGTAAATAATTAAGAAACTTCACGAGTAAATAATCAAGAAATTTTATTGTTTAAGCGAGCCATGGGCTACTGTTAATCCTTAGACATTTTTTTATTGCACAATCAAAGGTTTAAGGCATATGCATTATAGAACTAAAATTCAAGTGTGAACCTCGGGAAATTTTGTTAGTGTCCCGCTCATAGGCAAACTCCTATCAGGAACCAAAAAAGCTTTTAGAACACTTTGTTCAAATAAATAATTTGATAATTATAATTTTGCTACATTTTTCAAATTTATGAATTTATGTTGTTCTGAATTTTAGATGAAATTTTAAATTTTGATAAACTTTTCTATATATTAAGTTGTCGTTATTTGGGATTTGTTTTGTCTTTACTTTAATTTCTTTATTACTTCTTTAGTAGATAAATGAATTGTGCTTAAGTATGTCTTACCAAACAATTTTTTTCTATTTTTAAATGTGCTCCTATTTAAATAATAATAGTGATGATAAAAATTAAAGAGAGGGAAAAGTTACAACAAAATTTACGTAGTGTTTTTTTGTTTCCCTCGCTTTTAACCTAGTAACTCCTACTTTATTCCCTCCATATTTCCACCAACGCCATTTTCTGAACCTTTCCCTCCATCTTCCCACCTTCCCCTCAATCTTCCCACTTTCCCCTGTTCTCCACTTTTCTTGGTGACAAAACTTCCCTTCCGAGAGCTATAAATCCCCCTATAATCCATTTTGGAGAGATGGAACCAGATGATAGCATTAGGTCAGTTTTATTTTACTTCTACTAAATTTCTTCGAAGTTTACATTTTGTTTTCATCAATATGATTGTTGGGCACACGTTTTTTGCTTTATATTGGGATTTGTTTTTACTGCCAAGCTTTATGTACTGCCACGCTTTATTGATATTGTGACATCGCGTAATTTTTTGATTTTCTGTGTATTCGAGTGGTATTAAACAGATTCCCTTTGTCAATTACATGATATTACCGTGTCATCTCATATTTGATTCACCTCTCTGTTTTTTATGAATATGCAGTCATGCCAAAGATTAAACGTTTTAAGAATCCACTAAAGTCAGCTAATGGACATGCTTCATCATCAACTACTCCAGTGGCACAAGACCTCCCAGTTGCTTCAACAAATCCCTCACAAGCTGATGGAGTCCCACAACAAGAACAAACTCCAATTCTCCCGCAGCAAGAGCAAGTTCCAATTGCCCAGCAGCAAGAACAAACTCCAATTCTGCCTTCTAATTCAAGTGCAGCATCTCTGCACCCACGTCCATCTGCACGATATTGGAGAGTAGAGGCTAAAGGTATATATTTTTTATGTCATTTTTAGTTCAACTTATGAGTATCTTTTTTTTTCTTTTTTGGTTAAGTAACTAATTTTCTTTTTAAAGATTCAGAAAACGCTATCAAGCAGATTAATGTCAAGGTTAATGAGGTTAATAATCTAACTGTTGGAGAGCGCATCATTGTGGACTTTGACGCATACAATTCAGCATATGGTGATGCACAGGGACTGCTCGCTGGATATTGTGGATCATTGGCAATTGATTGTAATTTGTTCCCGATTAGTTTTGAGAGGTGGTCAGGGCAATCAGGCATGCCTAAGAAGTACATGGAAGACTGCTTTGAAACAATATTGAAGGTACAAGTGTTCTTACATATATATATATATGCACACTTTTTGAAAGATTTTAGAATACATGAGAAAACTAACTTCTATTTTTTATTTGAAGCCTCGATTTCTTTTTCGGGTATCTGAGTCCATTGCATACAGATATTGCAATAGTAGCATTTCAAAAAAGTGGACTACACATAGGCAGAGATTGTGGAATGAATATTTTGACCCTGCAAGAAGCAAAAATGAGATCATTAGTAATGTGCCATCTGGTATAAATAAAGATCAATGGGCTAGTTTTGTTGCTTACCGTCTGAAACCATCAACAATGGTAAGATTCTGATTATGTTAATAAGTTTTGTTTCATCATAATTATATAAAGATGAACATTTTGAGTTGTCGCTATTTTTGTTGATAGGAGCTTTGTAGAAGAAATAAGGAAATCCAGAGGAAGCAAAAAATGCCACACACTGGTGGTTCAAAGGCTAACTCGAGAAGACGTTATGAGATGGTATGCGCATTTAACTTAATAGTTCTGATTTGTCTTTAACTAAACTGTTTTTGGATAACATTTATAATACATTTCTTTCTTAGTTTCTGGAAACTGGTAAAGCTCCTAGTCGCGGAAAAATGTTTATTGAAACTCATAAGAGAAAGAACGGATCATTTGTGAATGCTGAGGCTCAAACTATAGGGGTAAGTATGGCATCGATGCATTTTTTGAATATCAATTTCATTGTTATTGTATAATATTCTTCATCTATTACTATTTTATACTTACTATTGATATTGATATGATCGTAGGAACAAATTGAGTCACATATGACTCAATTGTAACACTAATGAGTCTGAAGTTTCCCCAGAAGATATTGTTGGTAAGATATTAGGGGCAGAACACTCTGGGAGGGTAAGATGTATGGGTATGGGAGCAGCTCCATCAAACACATTCTTGAATACAAAGCGACGACTTAGCGAGCTGAGTATTTCTTCATCTAGCTATGATGAATCATCTGCAACTTCTACATATTTGCATCAAAAGGTTGCGCGTTTGGAGTCCAAACTTGAAGAAACCTTCAGTGTGTTGAAGAATTACATGATATCTAAGGAAGGAGGGATTCCTGAAGAATTAGCTACTATGTTTACTCCTCAACCACCGGTAAGAAGTAAATATTCTTTGTACTTTTTCTATTACAATCAGTTCTGATCAGTTTAGTAATATTGTACTTCTATGTGATTTCTGCCTAGTTGCCTTAACGTAAATAAAAGTCCATGCCCAGGTTTTGATTGATCAGATCAAAGTATGAACTTAGTTCTTGATTGTACTGAGGTGGTTATAATTGTTTAGTCTCCTGATAGCTCAGATTCTCTGTTTTTCTTGATTGACTGTGGAATAGCCGGTTCAAACATGTGAATGTTTTTTTATTTTAACCTCTGCACAAAGCCATACTTTATATAGCATAGTTTCTAACATGAGAGTGGAACAAGAACATGATTGAAAGCCTAAGGAAAGATTTTTAGTACTAGAACTACATGATGTCTGGAATATGTGGCATGATACAATAATGATTCGTCGTCTCTTTCTTAGTAAGGCCAGTAGTCTTATTATTTGTACAAAATAGTTTTCTTCTTTGGTAGTTACGTACTCACCAATCAACCTTGTAAAATTGTGCATTTCTAAAGGCTCAGGATAGGATCTTTGCAGAAACTCTACTAGAGTGAGTTGTATTGAATACCTTTTTTTTTCCAGCCTGTTGATGCAGAGGAGACTGAAATTGTTTCACCTATGGATGTAAGAGGCTCATCAGCTGATAACAATGCAAATCACCAACCAAATGCTTAATGTTTTCTTTGTGAACTACTTTTAGTGCTTTTCATGTCTTTGAATTTGTAATGGTTGTCTAGAGTCGTGTTTACTATGCTTTAGTTTGACGTTCAGTACTTAAATTTGTGACTTTTGCTATTATGGGTATTCTAATGGTAAATCTTTTTATGTTTTACATAGAGATTGTTCAGTGGATTATTTATGCATATGATTTAAATTTAAACTTAAGTTGATATATTCTAATAACCTAAGGTCCAGTTACAAATGGGTCTAGAAAGTTTGTTTCTGATATGGCAAGATTCTTACATAGAACAACTAAATTATTATTTCTCTGTTCTTACTAGAAAATACCAAAACGCGGCTCATGAACCATGTCTGAAAAGAAACATAGCAGCAGGCTAGAAATATGACATCAGCCTATGCACTTGATCTTTCAGCTCGCAGTGCCCTCCTACAGCATAAACATCTACTTGCCAACATTATGAGGAGCTGACTAGCCAAAAGAAATAATAATGAACCCACACCCAAGCCAATTGCAATATCTGATTCAGACAGAGTAATTATACTCTGCATCTCCTGCAATAATGAACACACAAAAAATATATTTACTGAACGTGTATACTATATACTCAATATTCTCAAGTATAGAACAATGAACCTTACAGACAAAAGAGCTAAGTCAGATGTGCCTTCATATTAAACTAAACCTAAGCAATTAGCACAAATCTTGATTTCTATCAATTACTTCTTCTTGCTGCTCTGAGATCTCATAAAGTTTCCTATTAGGACTACAATGACTATAACTATCCTCGCATGAAACCTGATCCATAGTTATTGTAAATATCCTGATTAAAATTCTACAGATGAAGTAGATGTTACTTGCTAACTTCATCGTACTTGCAGAACTACTCTGTTATGATTATGTGGATCCTTTTAAATGAGTCATTCTCTTAATTTCTTTGAAATGCAATAGTCAGCAACCTTAACAGCATAATCTTATAATCGCCTGTTGTTGATTTGATATCAGTGGTTTATTCACTTTGCTAAATTGCTTAATTGCACTATCAGTTTTCAGATAGCGGCTGTGAAAATCCAGTGTAAAATATCACATAACACGTGCAACGCTATCCACCAGAAATCACACCCAGCTGGCCATTGCACCAAAACAGTAACTTTGTCATGATGCTGTGAAATGTATCACATGATGTCAATCCTTTTGAAATGTATGAACATTTTAACATTCATGCACGAAACGACGACCATTGCATTTTATCTAAATTGAGATTTCTTCGGACTTGTGATGGAAGTTCTTTAAAAGAGTAAACATCTACTTTTGCTTCATATGACATATGCATAAGAGATAGCCTCGGTGAAATTTGTGGAGAGCTTGTATGTCCTTATCCACCTGGTATTTCAGTTCTAATTCCTAGTGAGATCATCACAGAAGAAGCATTGAATTATCTCCTGGAGATCAGAAGCAAGGGTGTTGTTATTACCTGAGCAGCTGATTATTCCCTATCATGATCTTTAGTTGTGTGTGTTACCTAAGCATTCTTCCGTCACATTTAGTAATTAGTTGGAAGTACAAATGCGAGTGACTTTGGTGTTAGACCCTGCATTTGGCATTTGAGATCTTAGGCTTTCCTATATTGCAGACAACGGTTTTGGGTATTGTTTGAGCTCCAAAGCAACTTCTTTTAGAGCTTTCAATGGGAACTGTCATGACCCTATTACAGGAAACTGGTAACTCAAAGTCACCTCAACGAGACTATTATGTTGGACAAGGCTACTCTGGGTTTGTTTTTTCATAAAAGCAAAAGCATTCATGTTGGTCTCTATTAATGCTCGTCTCAACATTGGTTATTCTGGTCAAAGGAAGGTGGACGTATTTCTCTATCAGCAAAGCAAGAGCTAGGGGACTATAGCAGCAAGGGGCAACAAGATGATCCTCATCGAACTAGACAAAAGCAATACACGCAGGTGAAGTAAGTGAAACACCGGGAAGCTATTACTCATTAGATGGCATTTCCAATGGACACTCTAGTTCATCTAAAACCAACATGCTCTTTAGTGTATGCTCTTCCTCTTTTGGGGACAGTTAGCAAATTGGATTCTATGTTCAGTTGATAAATTTTACTATGTCCACTTAAAATTTTAGTAAAAATTAGGGACAGACCATATCTGTTGCTAGTTGAATTGATTATGAGATACTTATGAGACATGAAGGAAAAAGTCGTGTGTTGACCAAAATTGAAGTTAAATGTATGTGTTTTTAATTTTATGTTTTCATCAATATTTTATTATATAAGTTATCCTATGAATGGTTACATGATATGTTTGAGGATTTCTATATGACGATATTCTTCTTTGGCCACTCGAGCTAAACAATATCAGAATAATCATTTTGAAGAACTTAATAATATTTTCTTTTAATTTTTATCTTATAACTCAAACGTATAACTCAATAATATCATTTGATTTTTAGTTATATATATATTTTTTTTGTATATAAATATAGTGACAAAGCCTGTAGTCTAAATTAGTAAGCAGTAAGTTTTTTCAAAAATAAATGAATAGATAAAAAAGCTATTTACTCTCAAAGATATAATTTTTATTCCTAAACCTTATTTTTCAATTTCAAATTCAAAATTGTAAATACGGAAAAGGGTCAAAAATATCCTTAAATTATCCAAAATAGCTCATATTACCCTTAAACTATATTTCAGCTCAAAACTACCCTTCCCGTCAAATTATTGGGTCAAAAGTGCCCTTCTAATTAACGGAAGTTGTTAAATGTCATGTGGATGCCACATGG